TTTTTGAAATGATGATTTTCTTATTCTCCCTAATGGTTTGATCAATCTTCCATTCTTACATCAGGTAATCTGAGCAACTTCATTGATAATAACAACATGTAATATAAGAATTATCCTTTTTCAAAAGCCAGTGTGAATTAAATACAGTGATCCCTCACCTGTCATGAGAGTTATGTTCCAAAGACCCCTGCAATAGGTGAAAATCCACGAAGTAGCAGCGTTATATTTTTTTTTTAAAGCCTTATGAACCCTTCCCATACTCCTATAAACCTTTCCTACTCTCTTATTAACCTTTCCCACACTCTTACAAACAGTTCCTATGCTCTTAAACACTTTCTATACTCTTAAACCTATGTAATTTTAACAACATATAAAATTCTACACAGGTACTCAATGCAAAGTAGACAAGGAGAGATGCTGAACATCTGGGCACAGTGCGGGAGAGTAAATAGACCTGTGCTATGGTCACTGAGCCAATCAGCACCCAGGATACAGAACACAGTGCTGTGATTGGCTGCCTTCCATTCCATCAGCCAATAGTGTGTCATGTACAATCTCACAATGGCAAACTTGCACAAGGGTTTTAGCATACTGCCTTTGGTATTCGTCCACTGATGAAATACATGCTGTATTGTATTTTGATTTAATATTCTTTTAATATGTTTGACAACATTTTTAATATTTTTATATTGTTTTAAATTTTTTAGGCAAACATAATAAAAATCATAAGTATTTTGTAAATATCTATATACCACAAAATCCCATGATATAGCAAAAATGCTGTGATACAGAATTAGATATATATTTTTTTTAAAAACCCATGATACAGTGAAGCCGCAATAAGTGAGTCATGATATAGCAAGGGACGACTGTTCTCAAAGTGAATCTGTGTGAATTGTAGTTGTTCTCAGTTTTGAAAAATCCTTGGGCTGATGGAGGAGATTTTGTAAAAGACTTGTGTGGTCTTAGGCTATGGTTTTGTATTTGTGCAACTAGGATAATAACACCCCCTCACTGTGTCCCTGGGAGGATTAAATGAAAGAGTACATGTTAAGTGCTTGGTACATTGTAGGTGCTTAATATTTGTTATTTCCTGAAAGTAGTATTATTTATTAAGTGATAATTTAAAAATAACATCTATTGAACATGTTCTTTGTGTTTGGTGCTGAAATGACCATGCATTTCACCTCCTCTCCCCAAAATTCTGGGTGGTAGGCATAAATCTTACAAAAGAGGAAACTCCAGGAGGCTAAATAATTTGCCACCTCTTTCACAGTGAGTGCTAAGACTGGGATTTTTATCCTGGTCTGCTGAGTTTCAAGGTCATACCTTTGATTGCCCTGCTTTCTTACCTTACTGAAAAGGAAGAGAAATAGACATTTCATGTGCCACCGGCTGCATTAGGTGGTTTGCCTTTTGTTCTCTTAATCTCCACCCAAATGCCTTCTGGAAAAGTGGAAGATGTTTGTGTGTATCCCTTACTCTCTCAAGGACATTGTGCTCAGAAAGCTTCATTGATTTTTTTTTTTTTTTTTTACTATATAATGGCAATTTTGCCAGTACCATATAACCCTCAGAAACAAGCCTCAAGGGATCACCAAAGCAACTGGCAGCTGCGATGTTCCTAACGCTCTTCCAAACCTTATTTGTCCCTGAAGGTAAAAAGGGCCCTGCCCCGCAATCCCACGTGGCTCAAGGCTAGAAACTTCCAGGATTGTGCTTTCTCTGGCTTTCTGGCCAAGACTTACTCACTGGTTGCTGGTTCATTTGCACTCCTCTTGAAAGAGATTTGAGATGGAATTTCTCATCAGAAGTACCTACCAAAATATAGACTCAGAGGAGATGATTACAGCATCTATGGAACAAAGAAAGGCAATACCAGGGGTGTCTTGGATTTCTCCAGGGACAAGACCTCCCTCCCCTGTGGTCTTAGCAAAAGTAAGGGCTGGTTCTGTAGGGCTCACACTGAGGCTCCCACTTACTAATCTGCAACACTATGGAAAGGGAATGTCCTAAGACAGAATGGGAGGGGAGGAGAATAAGCCTCCTTGATGCTATATCGCCTGTTATTGGGAAGCAGGACACCATATTCCGTTTTGGACCAGTTGCCTTGTTGAGAACAAAGATAACCAAACATGTTGTGTGCTGCTATGAGGGCAGATGGTTCTCTAAACTGAAGGTGGCAAACAGGCCTTGATTCTATCTCCAGCTCAAGAAGGGCTGCTGGGGAGCGGTCAGGGTCAGGTGGCTGGGGCTCCTCAGACCCACCTGCAAGTTTCTTCTGCATTCTGATCATACAGAGGGTTCACAAACACTCAGCACAAGGAGTTCACAGTTACAGAGGGGGCAGGAAAGTGAACGGGTATTTTCACTGATAGGTTATAGGATTTAGTCACATTCTTCTACTACAAGCCAGTGAGCATCTACTCTCTGCCAGGGACCATGCAGCAGGATGGAGATTGACAGTCACCCTAAGGCTTGGGGCTAACGCTCCTGTCTAATGGTGCCAATGCTGCGAGGGCTCAGAGGAGTACATTTACCCAGACTGGAGAAATTCTGCGTGAAGGAGGTGGCAAGAGGGAAGGTGAGAGAAAGGGAACTCCATGTAGAAGGAACAGCATGATTGAATGCACACAGGCATGAGTAACTTGTACCTAGGATGCTACACACCTGGCTGGGTGTGGACAACTTCTTGAGGCCCAGGGACTTTCAGATACACATGACAAGAAGCTCTTTTTGCTTCAGTGGTTTGTCCTGAAGGTTTAACTTGGGGCCATTCTCTCATCCTGCAGGAGGTGGTAGGCTAGTCCTGTCTCGGCTTCTGGCAGCTGTGATCAGGTGTTTTCTCCCTTATGTGCAGTCACACTCATCTGTACGTTGTTCCAGTGTATGTTCCCTGGGGATGAACCTCACAACCATGATGCACAAACTATATGTGTGTACTCACGCATAGTCTTATAAAAACCCTAAAGTGCAGCCATTGGACAAGGGGGTCAGATTTAAACCCAGATTATGAATTTACCTGGTACATGGCAGGGTTGCAGCACAGGGAACCATTGCCCCCTTCCTTACCATGGCATGGCATTGATCAGGCACCTGCTATGTACCAGGAAGACCCTGTCATATTCCATCTTCACATAGCAAACCTGTAAGATCAGTGCTATGGTCGTTATTCTACTCTGGTGGCACTTGAGGCTTGGAGACCTTCAGCAACCTGCCTGAGAACTTCCTGCCCTCCCAGGGGCAAACCAAGATCATTGCTGTCTGTGTTTCTGTGAGGCTTCCTAAGCCGTTCATCCTTGGCATTCAGACTTCACTACAGATATGGACCCTGCATCTGAAGCAGCCCCCATCTGTCACCTTCTGCTGCACTTACTCTCCTGTAATAGGACAACACTGGCCTAGTCACTGCCCATCTCTCTCCCTTGGTTCCTGACCTGCTCACTGCTGTATCCTTGGTGTTCCAAGCAAAACCTGGCATATAGAATCTCCAAGTAAGTGGTTGTGCTGGCTCTTCCGTAGGCCAGCCTTCCCCATTGTACATGATGGCAGCCAGTGCCTCTCTGGGGAGTATGCACAGCCTCCTGGTGGCTGCAGACTGACACTAAGTCCCACAAATACAAGACTTGGTGAGTTTCTCATGGGTGAGAACAGGCAATCTGACACATTTTCAATTCTACGGCAAAAGGATGCTAATGGCAGGGTTGTATGTGACAAACACCTGGGATTTATAAACTGATTGTACTCATAATCATATACCTTGATGACTCCATTCATTCTTGCACTCTCAAGTCTGGCTGAGGACAGATACACGGCCTCTCAGACGTGTATCCTTGCAGAGCATGAGGTACTCATGTTGTCAGCAAGGACGTGTTCCCAGTCTCTGAGCATTGCCTTGAATGGTTCTGACTTTCAATCCTGTTGTTGCGTATCAAATCCATTCCTTTGCACACACACTGTTTGTGTTTATTTTTGTTTATGGTGCTGTTCGTGTGTGGTGCCATTTCCAGTATGCCTTTGTTTCTCTCCTATGATTTCTTGCCTTGCAATTAATTCTCCCCAGAAAAACAATGACAAGATCATCAGCCCTACTTCAGCAAGTCAAAGCCCTGAGTGTTTGAGCACCCTGCTTTGTGATCTTATCTGGTCCTTGGATGACCAAGCTCACTTCTGTTTTAAAATAAGACATGATGGGGCTGGGGATTTATCTCAGCGGCAAAGCACCTGCCTGGCAAGCGCAAGGTCATGAGTTCAACTCCCGGTACTGGAAAAAAAAAAAAAAAAAAAGACATGACATGTTCCTGAAAACCATCATGGAAGGCAAAATGGAGGAAATGGGGGAGAGGTAGAACACTCAAAAATGTCACCACTGATGTATTATTAAAAGGGAAAAAGATGGGCAGCAATTTTATGCACTCCTTGTAGTAAGTATGGCACCTGACCTTGAGCAGACTTGTTGTTTGCTGGTGGAAATGGACCTATCCACACTGTAGTCACAACTTTCCATCTGTGCCTGAGAATCTCCCTCCCCTACTTCACAGCAGCACACCAGCTGCAACCCTGCCAGGTCCGCTTCCATCAGCAAATGTCAGACCACTTCAAGGTCAAGCGCCGTATTCACTGTAGCAGTTGTGTAAAACTGAGCTAACTTTTCTTTTTCTCCCTTTTGGTAATGCTTTTGGGTGTTGCAGTTCATTCTATTTCTTCCACAGCACTGGTGAACTAAGAAGCTGGTAAACATCTGAGATGTGTGCTTTTGTGTGGTGTATATTCCTAAGGGGCTCTGTTCAGCTGGGTGCAGCTTTCTGATTTGCCTACTCTATCTCAGGGGTGAAATCTTTTACCAGCAAATTCAAAATTTCCATAATCCTCAAACTATTTCTTAACGTGTTTGTTGAGACAAATAATTTATTGGAACACATTCACATTTTCAGAACAGGTGTTCTGGTAGGATTCTGACCACATCTGGTTTACTTTTCATTTTCTCCTTGTTTATTCAGACTGGACCAAGAGGATTGAGTACCAGCCTGGCTCGGGGAGTATGCCCTTGTTCCCCAGCATCCACCTGGAGACGTGCGATGGAGCTGTGTCCTCTCTCCAGGTCACCACGGAGCTGCAAACCAATTACATCGGGAAGGGCTGTGACCGGGAGACATACTCTGAGAGATCCCTCCAGAAATTATGTGGTATGTTTTCCCTGTTGGGATTTATTGGGTTAATTGTTGCTAAATGATATATACCAATATGGCATCTCTTACTATACTAGGAAACAGGCCTCCCCACCTGCATCAATGTATGCAGCTCCTGGGTGGTTGTTTACTTACAGTAAGGGTCAGACAGCCTAGCTTTTGGCATTAGGGCTGATTCAGACTCTTTGCCAGCCATACGGGCTTGGTCAAGTGAAGGATGAAATCTCTGTTCTACACTAGCAAATCAGGAATTAAGAAGCACAGCATGTTTAAAAGCACCTGGCACGGAACCAAAGACAAGTAGCCTCCCTTTTGCTCTGCTGTAGAGAACCACCTGACCAGGGCCAGTATGAAGAGTGCTGGCAGGTATTTCGGGAAGGGGGTTAGTCTCATGCCACATGGCCAGGTACATAATTGCCAAGGCCCACTGCAGAAAAAAAGGGGGGCTCTTGTTCAATAATTATTAAGAATTTGGCAACAGCAAAGCATTAAACCAAGTGCCTACACAACCCTGTGCAGCTGCTTAGGTCACATGCTGATGAAGCAGGGTCTGGCTGTTCAGAGCAGAAAGGGGCATGGGAGGGGGGATGGGAGGGTAAAGATACTCGCATGGGGGCGAGGAGCTTGTTGCAGGCCAGGAATTAGGAAACCGAGCTGATGGAGAATGCTATGGAAGCTGAGTGTGGGGAAAGCCTAGCTTTATTTAGCACCCATTGTGAGTGTCTCTGTGTGAGCTTCTTAACTGACTTCCCCTGTCCTCACTGTGGGCAGGATGTTATTTGTTTAATTTTAGAGAGAGAAACTTTGGAACCCAGAGTATGAAATAACCTGTTCAAGTTGACACCGAAAATGACAGAGCCGGGGTTCGTAGGGCAGTCTTTAGCTCAGCATCTGCACAGGCCAGCCAGGCCCAGGAGCTAGCACACAATTCTCCAGTGAGTCTGTGGGAGGAGAGGATATGCATCCTGTGAGGTGGTGATGGCCCCACTGACTGGGTGCACCGACTGTCGATGACCCTCTTCATCCCACACTTGTATACAGCTCTTTGCTCCTTAATCTCCTCAAGAATAAGCAGGGATTCATATTTAACTCTTAAACCGTGCCGTGGGAGCTTAGGACAGGGCTTACTCCTACACTGGTGTTGTATGTGGGGATAACTGTACCCTTTCACGGGAAAGGGAGGCTCCTGCATGCATAATGTTGCCTCCTATCTCCAGAAAGATCCCCACCCCTGTTATCTTGGGAGTAGTTTCCCCTCACAAACACCCTTTCACCCACACTGCTTTTGCACAAATAATCATGTAAAGTTTTTAAAGCCAAAATACACCCTGCTTGAGTGTCACCAGATTCCTTCCATTCGCTATGTCGCCATGCTGGCAGGGAAGGCCTGTGGCCATGCATACGCCCCAGGAGCAAGGCGGCTGCCGAGAGAGAGCACCACCACTTCAGAAGTACAAAAACCACCTTGCAAAAATGGATGTAAGGGAACTGCAGCGCTCTGAAAACTCCCTTCGGGCCTCTCCTTCCTTCTGCACACACAGAAGCCATCTAAGATGATATCTTACTTTGAATGAATATCCCATTTCCTTCCCCATTGTAGCACCTGAATTATAAGTCAACCCAACCCCATGCCACTGTGGGTTAGAGTCATTTTCTAAACTCCTCCAGGTTAGAAGGAGATGATGGAATCAGCTTGTTAAAGATCAGATGGGCCCAAGGGCACAGGCTTGCGAGGCAATTGTGAATGTTGCTGGGGAGAGATGCGAGATTCAGAGGGTAAGAAGGATGCTCTTAGGGAAGATGCTTCTGAGCAAAACTGTGTGTGGTGTTTCAACAGAGCATACTCCATCTGGGCTGCCAGCCTGTCCTTGAAGGAAAGCAGACTAACTCAGCTGGGAAGGTGAAGCTTAATCTGGTGCTGGAAGCTGCCCATTGAATGAAAAAAAAAAAATCTGACAATCTTCCTAGTAACACAGCTCACCACATTTCTGCAAACTCTGTCCCAGTAACCCTGGTAGCCAGACCAGTCTAGCCTCATATCAGAAGCATGATTTTTGATTTGCACTGGTGAGAGCCTAGGGAAAAGGGGCAGAAGCAAAGGAGTGTGACCGTAGGCTCAGGCTCTTTCCAAACTCTGAGGGAAATGCAGGTTGGATGGCTCCCAAGACAGAGGCTGGGTCACAAGTCCCTGACTCCTGTGGGCACCACGGGTTTTAGAGACAAGCTTTTGTATGTTTTCAGGGGATCGGGAAAGGCTTCTTGCTGTGCTTCCCAACTAGAGAGCAGCCACGACATTTTTAATCCTCAGCATTCATGCATTTTTCATCCTACAAATCTTTATTGACTTTGGAGGGAAACAGGGAGACCAATTAGGAAGTTATTGCCGTGGTCTAAGCAAGAGATAATGAGTTCTGAACCAGGGGAGTGGCAGTAGGGATGAATTTAAGACAGATTTAAGTGGCAAAATCAGCAAGTTCAATGATTGATTAGCTGTCAAGAGCGAGAAAGGAAGAATCTAAACAGATTCTAGTTAAGCATCTACCTAGATGAGGAGGCACCAACCAAAAGTAGAAACTCAGGAACAAGAGCAGATATAGGGGACAATTATGACAGCCACCTATGGAATACACAGGTGTCAGTGCCAACGTTTACTCTGCCTCTCAGCCCTCCTAAGGACTGTTTCCCCCACCCTCGCCTCATCCACTGTTACATCCTCTTTTGTCTTCTCCTTTGGTCTCTCTGCTCGACTTGTTCTCACCCCCAAGCTTTTGATCATGTTTTCCACCACAAGATGCTCTCTCCTCTTTTCCTCCCAAGTGCTTCCTTGCAGTCACTGTGTGGACTAGGGGGACCTGCCCCTGTGTAGACTAGGGGTCTGTCCTGAGTTGTTTCTGTGGCGGCTGCAGTTCTGGAGCTTTCTCTGTGATGCTGTAACTGTTCGGTAACCTGGTTACTGCCTGCTAATTCCTCCTGGCGTGGAGTAGACTCGTGAGAGGCAGTGAGGGAATCAACCCTGTTTAAGGGGAAAGTGGACTATAGTGGGTGTCAGAGGTGCCATGAGGAAGGTTGAGCAGATGCAGCTACCTTAATATGGCTTATCTGGGTCAGGAATGTCAGGAATAGTGCTTCCTGAGTTTAATACTTGGAGACACTTCATTCTGCTGTAGACAGAAGGAATGGAGGGCCCTCAACCCGTGTCTCTTTCACTTGTGGATCAAATATAACCTAAAATTGTTCTTATTGCCCTCACTTTACACAAAGCCAGGCTTTTTGGAGAAGTTGGCCAACTGCTTATCACTTATTTCAAATTCAGGGATATAGCTGAACCCACCATCTCAGTGCCAGGCTTTCCAGAGGCAAAGTGTCACAGTGCCGTGTTGACCGTGAAAAGCAGGAAGAAGCCTTCAGCGAGACCTGTCAGCCAAATCAAACTTGACATTAACAACCACCCAAGAAAAGGTCCACTTCAGTGACCCTACATCACTGCCCATTACAGGAAATAGAAAAGTACTTGTAATGCATGTGCCCTTTGTAGCGCAGAAGTCAGGGGCTGCTTCTCCAGGGACCACAAGGCTCTTGGCAGCTGGCCACTACCTCCTGCACACAATGCCAGGGGAAGCTGTTCTGTTTGTGAGTCAAGGCTCCCAGGAAAAGTCCTGCTTAAGAAAAGGCCACAAAATGTTCAGATGCCATTGAAATCAAGTGCTTCATATGTCAGAGCAGTGCAGGTGACCATTCCTTAAGCTGCTCCTGGATCTATACACTGATTAGCCAGGAGATTTTCAAAGAGGGAGAGATTCATTCAGTCATGTATTTTTTACTTCAACAATTATTGGGGTTGTCCACCCAAATGCTGAACTAACTCTTGAAATAATACAGAAATTAATAAAACTGCTCAACAGTTCAGTCTCCTGGGGAAGACAGATATGTTAAAAAAAGTTTCAATGCAATTTTTTCAGGAACTGTGAAAGTCTATAGTTTTGTACTATAACTTGCAGTTGAAAAGAACTTGTTTTCAATAAAGATCATTACCATGGGCTTTGATGCCCTCAGAACAGCAAAACTCTAGGAAGCCATCATGGGTGTCTCCAAGATGCTGCTAAAAACCTGGGGCTTCTAAGGTTAGGAATATTAACCCACTCGTTGTGACCACTGCTTCCTTGATCAGAGCTGAAGGGAGAACACATGCTGGGATTCAGACTAAGTCACTAATCATGTGTTAGCAAAGGGTTGCATACTGCGACTCATGAATGATGATTGTAATCTGTGGGTTCTTTCTGGATACACTTATTTCTTGGAGGTCACTTAGTAATGACCATACTATATGACCACCTCTGTTAGGAAGAAGGATTTTGCCTGCTGTGGCATGCTCCAGGCTGATCAGCAACTGGGTAGGTACCCACAGCCCTACCCTGGGAGTCTCTCTGGTCACCTTTCATCAAAAGCCCAGGCTTCTGTACCTAGAAATCCAAATTTCTGGTTACAAGTCCTCCAAGGAATGCCTCTTGTTTAGGATTCTAAAGGTGTGGGACGATAGTCTGGTTGTAGGTCCAACAGTTTGTGAACTTCTAAAAGGATGTCAGAAAATCCTCCTTACCAGCATTTCTGGAATGCAGATAGAGAACTGAGAACTGTAGCTGCTGATATCAATCATGTGAATTACCAGTCAGGATAAGAAAGGTTATGCAGCAGTAACAAATGCTCTCATAACTCAATCACTTAAAATAACAAAGGTGAACCCTTCCTGCTACATGTTCTTCTTGGATTGTCTGGTGCTCTTGTCCATGCTGACTTCGCACTGGGATCCAAGCTAATGGAACAGCCTCTATCTAGAACACTGCTGACCTCAGGGCAGATGGAAAGGACACATGGTGAGCTGTGCACCAACTGTTCTGGCCTCTGCCCTGATACTCATCACTCACACTCACATTTCACCCATCACATGGCCAGTGGTCATGTGGGTCAGAGAATTACATTGTGAGTAGACACTTTCTTCCATCTCAGAGGCCTGGTAGTCCATCAGATACTTGTAGAGGACCTTTCTGCCTTCTTCCTACCACTGAACTGCTGCATCCGCTATGTTGCCCCTTCTAGAACACAAAAGCCTTACTGGGTCCCCAAACATAGAGCCACTTCTCTATAGTTTGCTGCTTTAGTCATGTGACAATGCCTTACAAAGCTCAGACATTGCATAAACATTTATTGAAATAACTTGGAAATGTTACTGTACATCTGCCATGCTCACCACATGTCTTTTTTCATGCAAGGAGCAGTGTACTGACTGAGCCGTGTTTCTCAGTTACTCTGATTCCTCTCCTTGAGATGTTCCCACTTATACCCACTTCTACCCATGTCCTGTGGTGGACCAGGAGAACACCATGTCAGTCACCTCTGCCATAAGCCTACCTTGAAGTGCTGAGGACACGATCTTCCCTCACCAAGATCACCCAGACCAGAATCCAAACCCATAAACTAAGTTCAGGCAGTAACCACCACCATGGGGCCCCATAGTGTACCTTGAAATCTGCCTCATTTCCTCCTGTGTCTATCTCCTTTCGGGCTCGGAACAGCTTTCCAACCCCGGCAGGGCCCAGGGACCTGAAATCAGAACCCCTCCTCTGATTGAAAACCACCAGTGCTCCAGCTGCTGCTGTTGTGCACCAGATCAACATGAATTCTCAGTGCCTAAGGGTTCCAGGGACTGTCACAGAGGAGTCCCAGGGAGCATCTTAAATACACCCTGATGTGCAGATGATGCCACACTATCTCTGCAAGTGATGTATCCTGTTTACCCTCTGATTTCCCGCAGGATCCCTTGGGGAGAAGAGACAAAACTCTGGGAGAAAGTAAATCTTTCTAAGTTTGTTTAAGTGCGCGATGAAATGAAATACAATCTGTTAAGTTTGTGGAAGTGTGCACCATCTGGCTAAATGCAGCTTCATGCTTTCTGGCAGACAGCATCTGTGGAAGGGGGAGGGTGGCCTGCCATTCCCCCTTCACAGGGAAGACAGGGGAGCCCCACAGCAGTGGCCTTGCCAGGGCACATGGTGTCTTCAACATAGGAGCAGCCATCTGTGTGTGGAGGTGCCATCCCAGGGGATTGGGCTATGCTAAGCAGGTCAGCTGATTGGCCCCCTGGGCACTACTGTGTGGTAGAACAGCTGGGTGTCTGAGAGCCGCACCTGCCTCTAGCCAGCATCACAGCTGTGCAGACTTGGTCCAGTAGTGTCCCCTGATCTAGGCTTCAGTTTCTATGTTTACAAAATGCACAGGAAGCTGTATATTCTCTCTCCAAACTCAGCTGAGACGGCGCAGTGTTCGGCGTGGGCTTTGGAGCTAGAAAGCCCTGGTGTGGGCCCACTCCCTAGCTGGCTGTGATCCTGGAGTCATTCAGCCTGGGTTTCTTATCTATAAACTGGAATCTTAGCAGTATTAATGATTTAAACAAATAACAAGGAAGGATCATGGAATGTGCTTGCAAAATTCAGGTTCTGGCATCTCCTCAGTGTCCAATAAGTAATTTCTAGGAAAATAATAAAGTTAAAACTATAAAATGGTAATAAGTAAAGCTGTGCAAACAAGCTATAGTTTCAGGGTGTCCCTGGCCAAGGCTGAGTTACTCTACAACTAATTTCACCTCTTAACCTTCCTTTGGTGTCTCTCCTACCCACCCACAGTAGGCTTTAGTGTGTATCTCTCTCTGTTTATCCAGATCTGTTTGGAGGAAAAATCTTTGATCACTTCATTCACTGCTCTAAAGTGTTAATTCCACTGGCACAACAAAGTCCTTAGCTAAAAGAAGGACAGTCATAGAATGGAGTTTCATGCCCTGCCTATTCTCCTCCAGGCACCTTGTGCGGAGTCCTGGCTGCTCCGTGGTGGTAGAGCAGGCCTCTGCAGATGCCCTGTGTACACCTCTGTCATGGGCCCTGCTAGTCATCGTTAACATTACTGGTTTGCGCTAGGACTCAGGAGGCCTGAACGAGCAACCTGCATCTCTATGCCCACCCCAGACTTCAGGAACCGACACACACTCTGTGTCCCCCAGTCACGGGCTGTCTTCATACTGGACAAATCCTTCCATCAGACCCAATGTATGTGTGGGTCAAAGAAGCTGTTGTCATGTCATATTATTATGTGGGTGCTAGAGAAACGAACTTTTCCCATAGTACCCTGTATTTCCCTTTCCCAGACCTCTCACAAGTCTCTCCCTGATGCCATCTTGACCAGTGGTTTTACTGCAAATACCTATGGAGAGCACTAACTGAGGTGGGCAAAGGGCTTTTGTCATTAAATATGAGGTATGGATAAATAAGTGTGATGAGTGGTGTGGAGGTGGACAAGAGGCTGATGAACAGGCTCACCTGAGCACCAGGTGAATTGCCAGAGCATCCGATGGGGCATAAACAGGAATTCAATGCCTACAACATGGCAGGTGGAGGAACAGGCAAAATCCCCAGGAAATATCCATATAAGCAGTGCAATCAACTCTGCCCACACCTCTCTAGAGAAGCATGAACTGAGAGATCTACATCTCCCACCTTCTCAGGCATAGCAGGTCTAGAGGCTGCTTTCAGCATGAGCTTCTCACAGAGCTAAACAGAGGATCTGGGCTCCAAGGAGACATGTTTGTCACACAGCATAACCTTCCACCACAAACCATTAGGTATCAACCAATGATCTCTTCCAAGGCTGGAGGGAGAGCTGAATGGGTAGAACATTCTAAAGAAATGCAATATATTAGATTCCAATATGGCACCTTCTGTAAGAGTTTTCAAGGGTCATTTTAACTGTAGGAGATTTTCTTCTGGTGGCTCTCTTTGAAGCTCAGCCCCTAGTGAGATGAGGCTTTGTGTAAAGTCAAAAATCAAATGATCCTGGTAGGCAGCAGATGATACATGATGAGTCCCATCAGAGTTTATAACTAACTAGTGGTGCCGTGCCAGTAAACAGCCTCATGCACCAGCCCCCTGCACAGCCTGGAATTCCCCTGGTCCTTATTACTTGAACAAACCAGGAAGTTCCCAGTGCTTCCTCCTCTTTGTTTGTTTTTTTTTTTTTTTTTTTGGTTTTTCTCCGGTACCGGGAACCGAACTCATGACCTTGCGCTTGCCAGGCAGGCACTTTTGCCGCTGAGCTAAATCCCCAGCCCCCTCTTCCTCCTCTTTGAATGGCTGAATTGTGCCTCCATAGGGAGCTGTACCTCTCTGTGGGGATCAAGAGCTCTCCATTTGAGCTGAGAGAGAGACAGAGAGAGAGGGAGAGAGACAGAGACAGAGACACAGAGAGACAGAGAGACAGGGCCTGAGAATCCTCCCAGCAGAGCAGCCCAAGCTTCTCTGCCAAGCCAGCTGCTCCTTCCCACCTCTGCCTACCTTCCAGAAAGCCGCCTCAAACACTAATGCTCTCAAACACTAATCTGCCCACACCCTCACTACCTCAGGGTAAGTCCTTGTACCTTATCCTGTAAAATAACAGTGGCAGCAGAATTAATAATAATGCTGTTGATAAAGTGTGAGCAAACGTGGCGTGAACACTCACTTTGTGATAAGCATGCTGCTGCAAGCTCGCCTGCATTATCATTCAGTCCCCAGACACCAGGGAGAGGAAACAGTCACAGGGGTTACAGACCTATCAAGTCACACTGCCAGATGTCAAATTCAAGTGCTGCTGATGTCAGAGCCCATGTTCTCCACACTGTACCACTGGCCCCCAGTAAATGGCTATCCAAAAGTGTGATTACAAAGTAGCTCACACTCTTTCCTATGGGAACAAGATCTAGAACTCTTTTCCCCAGTCATAGTCCTGATAACAGTGGCTCAGCATGTTGGTTCTGAGTTGCTGCAGATCAAGGACTGCGTCTGATTTCCCTCTATGTGATCAGCACCTAGCAGGGTTTTGACACATGCTCATTGCTCAATAAATGCTTGAAAGGTTAATAAACGGGTGAGTATAGGAGTGAATTCACCCATCTCATCAAACCCTGGCCTTCCCCAGGAACTTGCTAATGAAAGTCCCCAGGGTTCTGCCAACCCTCTAAACTCATCCAGCCCATTTTCCTTGTATAATAGTTGATCATACCCCAACTTGCCACATGCGTCATTTTTATTTGTAAGTTACAAGCAGCTCAGGGTGGAATGGTGTTCAGCACTTCTTTCCCCAGTCACTTAGATCAGAAGAATGAACCTTTGTGCTTTCTGTCCCTCCCCCCGTAGGAGCCTCCTCTGGCATCATTGACCTCTTGCCATCCCCCAGTGCTGCCACCAACTGGACTTCAGGACTGCTGCTGGACAGCAGTGAGATGATCTTTAAGTTTGACGGCAGGCAGGGCGCCAAGATCCCGGATGGGATTGTGCCCAAGAACCTGACGGACCAGTTCACCATCACCATGTGGATGAAACATGGCCCCAGCCCTGGTGTGAGGGCTGAGAAGGAAACCATCCTCTGCAACTCAGATAAAACTGGTGAGTCTGCAGCACAGCCCCTGTGTCCCAGTTGTTTGGACACAGACGCAATCATGGAGGAGTGTGGGACAGTGGGAACAGAGGGAGTGAGGAATACAGTCTGGTCTCTGGTTTTCTAGCTTCTGATTGGCTGGGTTTGTGGTAAAAAAGGAGCAGGGAGGAGGGGAAGTACAGATTCAGTGAATGCAAGAGGTGGAATCACGATCTTCAAACTGGGCTTCTCAGAACGTCTGCAATCCCAGAAGTACCTTAGGGCTAGCATAGATGAGCCAGGCCTGGAGGAGGAATCTTCATCTGTACTTCAACAAAGAAGCTCCACCTTCAATATATAGTAGAAAGAATTCCAAAAAACTTCTTTTAAATAAGAGTCCCACTAACTTAGCATCATAGTTGAAAATTCATCACCATATGTCTAGGGATAGCTGATAGTTCTTTGGCATTTTCAGCATGTTAAGCCTGGGTCACCCCGTTCTCAGGTTGGTGGTTAAAAGTTCTCCACCATCTCATAGCTACGTGACCTTTGGCGAGCTGTTTAACCTCTCTGTGCTTTACTTTCCTAGTCTATAAAAATGAGTATTATGGTATTATCATCCTCATAGGGTTTTTATGAGGATTAAGTGACTTCATATACATCAAATGCTTGGAACAGTGCCTGGCACATTGGACATATGGTTGATGTGAGTTATTATTATTCTAAATAATTTCTCATATTTTTACAAATAATGTTATAAAAGTATTATTGTGTTTTCCAGCTTAAGGATATGAGCACATCCTTAAGAGGTTAAGCTATATGTCTCAAATATTTATACCTCCAGTTGGGATTAGAACAAGAATGTCAGTTTAGGTCCAGTGCTATGCTGTTATCACTACATGTCTCCATCATGCATGCATGCATGCATGTGTGCACACATACACACACACACACACACACATATTCTGAGATCATATAGAAAAGTGCAAGTCTGTCTTTAATTATAATCCCACAGTTTCCCATTTCAAATACAACTTTTGTTAGAATACCTAAACTAAATAACAACCATTTGCTCTTAACAGATGATTATACAAAGGATGGATGCCCAAGAGCTCAACCTCTGCTCTCAGGAGCAGAAGTACATAGCTCAGCTAGATCACTCCTGAAGGTGTGGCCTTGGAGGAACTACTAATCTGAGTCACAGTTTCTCCACAGGTAAAACAGGGAAGGTAAACAAACAGGAAATAAAGTATCAAATCACTTAGAAGCACCAGATCTTAGCAGTCCATTAATTTACCTGATGTTGATAGTACCATTATTATTATTATTTCTAGATCTAGTTTTATTTTGCTTTACTTTTTGTTTTTGAGACCGGGTTTCGCTATGCAGTTCAGGCTGGCCTTGAGCTCACTTTGTAGCTTGGGCTGGTGTCGAACTTATACCAATCCTCCTGCCTCAGCCTCCTGAGTGCCGGGATTACAGGCATGAGCCACCACACCCAGCTTATTCTGCTTTATGATGCTACAAGAATTCCATGTTCCCTACTTCAATAAATCTTTACAATAAATACTGTGTTTTCTGCAAGAGGAACCGAGATGCAGTGGCCTGACATTGCCTTACTCACAAGTCTGTGTGAGGGGAGCTGGTGCCAACAGATCTTCTCTGGAACCTTCATGGAGGAAGGACCCCACAGACTACCTGAGGTGGCACTGAGGTTTGGGACCAGGCTTCATACTGTGGAACTAGCAACACCTGTGGCACAAGCCCATCATGGTCCTAGTGCCAAAACCACAAGGAGGTGACAGCTTAGGTCTGTGTAGACAAATGTAAAGCAGCCGAGCTATGGTCAGTGGCCACACATGCAGTCCTTTCTGAGATGTATCAAGTAGTCCTGGCAGGCAGAGCAGACAGATATAAATGTTTCTGTTTACAGAGGAAAGTGGAAGTTTGAATAACAGGCCCAGGGTAACACAGCCGATTACCAAGAACAGCAGGCTTGAACCTAGGACCTTTCATCACAAGCTCCAGGCCAAATTACTGCCTGTAAGGTCTAGTTGCAATAAATTAATGCATTTGTAAGACTGTGTAGATGTGAGGGCCCAACCCTAGGTCCACAAATCAGAATCTCAGGAACACTGTATGAGACAGCCACAGCTGAGCACTCTGCCTCAGACAGCAATGCCTCCTGTCACCACTGCATTCCTCCTACAGGCACTGAGGGCCCCCAGCCTGCAAGACCAGGTGCTCTGCAGCTCAGACCTCGTAGAAAATCACACTTAACTCAAGATTGGCACAGAGAAGATGGGAAGGTTTTTTTAAACTTCTCTGACTTTTAAAAGAATCTGTAACTACATCCTTATCCTAAATAGAAATAAAAATTTTAGGAATAAACTGAAGCCTGATTAGGGTTTGTTTTATATCAGAAGTGTTTTTCAGTTGTAAAGGAAATGCGTATTCATAGCAGGAGTACAAAAAGCACAGAAATGCATAAAAATACAAAAGCCACCTAAAATCTGAACACTTGAGATCTCATTTGATAGCTGCATTTCATTAAAATGTGATTTTATTTCTACATATAGTAGAATGTTCTCACAATTTGAATCTATTTTTATAAAACATGTAGTACTATTATCTGTTTCCTTTATATAACTATATCCAGATCATTTCTCTATGCAATGAGATATTCTTTAAAACATGAATTGCATGGCAGTTTAAAACTCTGCCTTGTGGACCTATAATACTCCATTTAACTTGCTGCTTTTTGTTGGATATTTAAATTGTCTCCTTTTAAATGCAAATGAAACAATGCCGTAGTGAGTATTCTGGTGTATAATTTTTGGACATTTCTGATTGTTTCCAGACTGAAAGTTGAATTATTAAATCAAAGAATATAAATATTAAGAAAGCTATTAAGGTACCATGTTGAATTGCCCTTCATGAAAATTGCATTCTTTTCTCTTTGGTACAAGTAAAACTTGTTAATTCTGGTCCATTACAAAGTAATTTATAAATAGTTGGATAGCGGAATTGGTTAGTCAGCAATGGTTGACTGCAACACAGAGAAAAAGAAAGCCACTCTCCTTAGTACCAACAAACAAAAGTCTCAGTGGCTGACCCTCTGCATCAGAGTGTCCCGTCATGTGTTTCCCGGTGGACCTGAGCAGATCTGCAGGATGGGGAAGCACTGTTTTGCCCATTCTGAGAACAAGTCTTTCTAAACCCCTGAAGCTTTTGTTCCTGCTGTTCTCAGCCACTGAATAGAAGGTTGGAATACCGTGGAGTGCAGAAGGGTTTTATTGGTCAGAACAGCAGGTGGCTTGTTTTACATCTAATCACCTTCCACTTGCTAGAGCTTGGCCGCATCACCCCAGCTAACCACAGGAGGCTGTGAAATACTGTTAGCTGTGTGTCTGGGTGCAAAGGGGACACACATATCGGTGTCTCTGCCATGGGGGACACTTGTGCCTACTGCAAGCCAGCTTACCTTAGCGTTTACCTCTCTGCTCCCTGGTAACGCTCTTTCTTGTTGCTCTTCCTGATCCCTCCTCAGTTTCTGCCCTCGCTCCATAATCCCTCCTGCCCACACATCTGTTACTGATACTAGGGTCTTCTGCTCCTGGCATGCAGCCCTCTCCTCCTCCTGCTGAGGTCAGTGGAAAACAATGGATGATAAGTGGGCACACATAGCACTAGCCACCCCCCTATTGGGCTTTCTCAGAGAGAGGACCAACCAGATGCAGCAGTTACCAGGTAAAATGGCAAAGATTTCCCTCTGGTGCAATGTGCTAGGATGACTGCTGTGTCTGCTGGAAAGGAAAGGGTGCATCTGCACCCTGGCAGTAAGCAGAAAAACACTGAGAAGGATTGAGATTACTGTGGAGAAGGAGTGGGAACCTCACTCCCACTGCCAATTAGCTGAGCTGCAGATGCTTCCGGGTGTGTACACTGACCCCGGGAACCCAGAGCAACAAAAAAGCAGACAGAGGGAGAAATCTCCTAGGCTAGGAGATGCTTTGGCAGAGGGTGATCTACTCTTTCAGTTCCTTCCTCACTCCCAACCTCTCCTGACTTTGTAGCAAACTTTGTAAAACTGATGAAGGCAGTTTTACTGCCTTTTACTGTTTCTGTATTTTCTTTACAGTTCTTAACAGAAATTACAGAAAAGCAAATAAATAATTATGAAAGGGCCAAACAGTTTTTGATAGACTCCTCATAACCAGGTCAGGGTATTTTGCCTAGCCAGAGGCCAAGAGTGGTCACTCAGACAGTGGCCCAGGCCGGTCTTGCCAGGCTTGCAAACTGACCATCCTCTTTCCTGCCCTTCTTGAGCTACACTGGAGAGGACTGTAGTGCATCCACAAACACAGCATCTGACACTGCTTTGCCATGTTGCCGTGGTCACGAGGCAGAATAATGCTCTTTATAATACTAAGTCATTGAGCATCTATTCTGGGCAGATTCTCTACCCACATTTCCTCACTGTATCAATTAAGATCCTTCCTGTTACAGGGAATGGGAAGTCCAGATTGAACTGATATGAGAAAACCAAAAAAGCAACATAATGCAGGGAATGGAGGGTTCTTATAACTGAACACATCCAGAGCTGTCATGGTTCATAGAGTCATCCTAAAAGTTAGGTGTGGTAAAGGACTTGGCTCCTTTTCTCTGAAATTTCTCAGATTTATGCCCATATGTGTATCAATTGTATGTCGGCAAATACGGCTGCAGGCACTCCAAACCTCCCAGCCACACACTATAACTTGTACCACATATATACATAAAACTTATACATGGGTATGTATACAACATGTGCATATAACCCTACACATACTTATGAACACTTAAAACAACTTACACATACAACTGGTACAGCATAGGTGAGGTTTAGAGAGGATATACAGGAACCAATCACAGTATCCTGCTCTCTGGCTCTATTAGGATAGCTCAGCATCACTGTCGTGATACAGTTAAGGAAACTGAGGTTCTGAGAGGGTAAATAACTCTCCCATCGCCACCCAATGATACGGCTTTATCCAAAGTCTGAGTCTAGAGCCCTGCTCTTTCTGCCACACACCGTCACCTGTTCATTCACTCAACATTTATGGAGCATACACTCCTGTATACTGCAACATAATAGCATGTGAGATCTCTTAGTGCTGGTCAGAGAACAGCTCCTCTTCTGCCCGTTGTTACAAGATATCATAGCTATATCCATGACATAAGATTCCTTAGGTAGGAAAGAAAATGTTTGTCAGAGGAGAAAATGTCCCTCGATTGGTTGCTGAGCATGGGGAAGAGGTGTTGCTTCATTGCTTTGGAGAGCCAGAGTAATGTCTAACGCTGGAAGATCAATCTATCCCATCTTCCCTGCAGCTACAGGCAAAGGAACCTTAACACAGGTTCAGAGGACAAAGGCAATGTGCTCTGTGGTCACTGTTGTCAGTCTGATGAGGTAAAACAGAACCTCAGAACTCCTGGAGGAGGCAGCTATGTTGTAGGAGTCCAGATCAGCTGGATAGCTCAGCATCACTCACGACGGCATTGGCGGAGAACACATTCAAGGCTCTAGGAAATATTTGTCACCACTAAAAAAGCTTGCCAACCTGAGTAAATTTATGCTGGATCAGAAGCAGCACCTGAGCAGAAGACCGATGTGTTTCAAGCCCGGGTGGCTTCTTGGCAGCACTTTTGCTGTGGGCTCTCCTGAGTCCTCTTCCTCCATTTCAGTGAACCTGATGAGGTGTGTTTCAGAGCGTTCATCAGACCACTTGTGAAAGAGAAAACCAGGGTGCCCGGTTCCTTATCCTTTGAGCTGAGCTGGGCAAGGTAGCAGGAAGACTCCTGTGGCAGAGACTGACAGGGATTTTCTCACTGTCCAAGTCCTCTTTCTTTGCCTTTCAGAAATGAATCGGCACCACTATGCCCTGTATGTGCACAACTGCCGCCTCGTCTTCCTCTTGCGGAAGGACTTTGACCAGGCTGACACCTTTCGCCCCGCAGAGTTCCACTGGAAGCTGGACCAGGTGAGGCTCTTGTGTGTGCACCTTCCTCACTCAAAGCTCTGCAGGGGGCTGGCTTGTTCCTGCAGGGTTGCAGTGGGTAGGCACCTCAAGCTGTGGTCACTCACTGTTTTGGAAAAATCCGCTCAAGGGGCATACAGTCCTTTAAAGTAAGGATGGAACTTGCCAACTTAAAGCCAGTTGGCAGGAGGAGGGCCACACTTGCCAGTTAAGGCTGGCAGGGTCAGTAGACCTGCCTGTGCACATCGTGTCTATTTTGCCCTGTGATGAGCTCATGGGAAGCTGCTTTTCCTACCAGACCCCCTCATGACCTTTGTGAGCACATCTCCGTATCATAGGTGCTCCATGTCTCCCCTCAGTGCTCTGCTGCCTCCCCTGGGTGACAGCACTGCTTGCTATTGGTGACAGAAGGTTGAGAACAAGGACCTGAAGACTTTGAAGTCAAAGTGACAGAGCATCGTGAGCAGTAAGTGCTCTTTTATGAAGCAGAAAATCGGACTATCTCCAGAGCCTTATGACTGTCAATCACAGAGGCCACTGCATCATGCCCGCCGATGGCTCATAAGTGTCTGGTTTAAATCCAGACTTCTGAAGTGTGCATCCAAGGGCCGTGCAGTTCTCAGGCTGTTGGGAGAGCTCTCATTTCTCTCGGTGGCTGTGCCAATGCAGAAAGGTCCATGCCACAAACCTAGAGTTGGTCTTCACCTAAATTTGCAAGGGGCCTGACTCACTCCTTTCAAAATGGTTTTAAAATATCAAGAGAGAGAATCCAGCAGCCGGGAGTGAGGAGGGTCAAATGGATGCTGCTTAATTAAGCAAGCTGGTGGGATAATGCTCAATTTATGACACTTCCTTACTGTTTGGGGGCCCCAGACTTTTATTTTGCTTTTATTCTGCCTCAGCCATATCCTGAACTGAGTACTTCAGCCATATCCTGAACTGAGTACTTCCGGGGCCCTCAGGATTTTTTGTTTCCTCAAAACTCATGTTTGCTCTCTGGGTCGTGTCATCTGGGGCTGAATGCCTCTTTATCCTGTCCCTCCTGTGTTCTTGTTACTCCATCTCTACCCCTTCTTCTTCCTAAACCCCCAGGCGTCCAGGGCGGCCACGGATGTGCTTTAAAACAAGATTCAGTAACCGTCTTTACTGGCAGAACTCCAGGCAGTGTAACAGGATCAAGCACGTCAAGCTGCGGGGACAGATGTTTGAGGGACATGGCCTAGCTCACTCCCACACATCCCCTCCTGCTAGATCCCAGAATTCTGAAAAGATGGCATTCAGATTAGCCTGTGTTCCTCTGAGTTAAGAATTCTAGTTCTTGCAGTAATGGTGAAATCCTGACATTGTTTATACGATTTCTCAGCAGACTCACAGCTATGTCCTAAAGGGCCAGATGGCTTTTATGAGATGTTTTAAAATACATAATACAAAGTGAAGCGAACTAAAATAAATTCCATATCATAAGGGTTATTTTAATAAGAACACTGCCATATTGGTGAAGATAATTATAGATACCCTGCAGCGTTTTTTGAGATGGGACTGAGAGGCACAGATATAGGCAAATGAAGTCACAGGGTTTGAAATTAAAAATAGCAAATAAGGAATTCTGGTTGTATATATAAATACATAGTAAATCTAGCAAATCTGAGATCTGTTCCTAAACTGACGAGTTTAAGTGGTGGTGCTGAGATTCATGAACATCGTCCAGACTATTCTGGTCTCAGTGACATTCACTTGTCAGAGAGCGGCTGCTCTGTGCCAGGCACGCTGTATGTGCGAAACCATCCTCAGCTCTACAGAGCCCTTCCCAAAGGGCATTGTGAGGCAAGAGACCCCACCCAGTGACTTGCTCAGGGTCACACAGCAAATCATAATCAGCAACTCCCCTTTCCATTATGCTATGCTGCTTCTGCAGTGAGCATGTGCTAATTTAAAAGTTAAACATTTTTAAAGCTAAAATGTATAGATCAGAATTATCAGGTGAAATACAAAATGTGTGTAGTCTGAAGGAAACTGTGCAATTGTCAAATCTTCACTTTGCTCAAACTCTGACTTTATTTTTGTTTTAGTCTGTGTAGGAGGCCATAACAAAATACTTCAGGCTGGGTGGTTTAAACAAAAGAAATTTATTTTTGCACAGTAAGAGAGGCTGAGAAATCCAAGAGCAAGGTACCCACCAACTCAATTCCTGGTGAGGGCTCTCTTCCTGGCTTGTGGAGGACCTCCTTAGCACTGTGTCCTCACATGGCAAAGAGAGAGAGACAGACAGACAGGGTGGGAGGGAGGGAGGGGGAGAGAGAGTGCTGGTATCTGGCTTTCTTCTTATAAGGAATCAGGACTGTCAAACTAAACCCTACCTTTATTAGCTCTTTTGACCTCAACTGCCTCCTAAAGGTCCTATTGCCAAATGTCTTGGTGGTTAGTGTTTCAAGGTGAAATTTGGGAGTACACATTTTAGTTCATAGCATGTCTGTACTAAAGAAACTAATATTGTTAATAAAGACAATTTTTGGTGGTTAATAACCCAGTTGCACAGCACCTCCCTACCATGCACAAGGCCCTGAGTTCAATCCTCATCTCGACAAAAGGAGGAGAGAGAAAGAGAGAGAGAGAGAGAGAGAGAGAGAGAGAGAGAGAGAGGAAGCAAAGAAAGAAAAACAGAAGGAAGAAAGGGAGAGAGGGAGGGGAGGTGGGAGGGAGGAAAAGGAGCTTATTGATAATCAAAAGCCCCAGCCCACCCTCTGAAGAAAGCCACAGAGAACAGGATATAGCAGTGTAGAGTGTAGGAGACCTCCACAGTGTGCATGCTAGCAATTCAGTAGTTTGAATTGAACCATCTTTCTCTTTACCCAGCTCCCTGAGTGATCAGAATCTTACCGGAAGTTTCTTGAATAGAAATCACTTGTTATCTACAGTATACATACCTAGTAAAGCTTCCGCCTAGGGGAACTCATCCTAGAGCACCCTTTATGGGGGTTTCCTTTTTCCTCCACTCCTCAGATCCATGCAGAACTCTGTCCCAATACTTACTGTACTACAGTTACCTGCCTATCTGTTCACCTTGAATTGAACTCCAGGGGTCAGGACTGTGTTTTACTCATGCCCAACTATTCAGTGCATGGTTGTAGCCATGAGCATGTACTTGATGCCTAGTAAGTGTTTGCCTAATGGTGAATGAAAGGGGAGGAGGGAATTAGATAGGTGTATAGTCAGCTTTTCTGTTGCTAGGACAAAATAGCCAGTACCCACAACTTAAAGGTTCACATTTTAAGGGGATTCAGTCCATGGACACCTGTCTCCAAGTCAGAAACATGATGGTGGACAGGCATGGCAGAGCAGAGATGCTTAGTTCATGGTTACTAGGAAGCAGAGCAAATGAACAGTACCAACAGCAGAGAGAAAAAGGCAAGAGTCCAGACATAGGCCCTGAGGACAGCCTCCATGTCCCACCCAGACACACTCAGAAGTGTCCTCCTGAGCAGCTCCCAAGGCAATCAAGTGAGAAAATCACTTTAACCATCATAAGAGAGAAAAACTAATCTAGAGATCTTCTTAAAAATATCATGGTGTCTAATTAATTTTTTTCCTTTTTCTTTTTTTTTAGTGCATATTTGCGATACAAAGTAGCAATATTAGTTCAGGAAAATTGGTACATAGTGAATGCATATGACATAACTTCATAATTATTTTTGTTCTTTGGAGTACCAGGGACTGAAGCCAGGACCTTGACACTGAGCAGTGTATCTCTAGCTCTTTCTAAAAAATGTTTTGCAACAGACTTGCCAAGTTGCAGAGTTGCCCAGTCTAGGCTCAAACTTATTATTCTCATGACTCAGCCTCCCAGAGTGCTGGCATTATAGGCATGTACACTATGTCTGGTTCTTGGTAATTGCAATTCCTTTCCTTCCCCTTCCCCTGATCTCCTGACCCATTTCCAAGAGTCTACCTTCTAGTTTCTGGTCTATTTACTTTTGATTCATTTGATTGAGCATTTTCAAACTTTGCCATTGTTTACTTTTTTTTCTCAAATACAGTGTATCTTTGATCTTGACATCTTATTTCAAGGGTTGAACTAGATTTACTATATAAGGTCTAGAGCAGGCATTGACATAAAGGGACTCAATTGGTCTAATGAACTGTGTATATTTAAGCTCTTGGCCCACCTGGAAATTCCAGAAACATCATATCTCTTTTAATACTTGATGACACTCATTTATTTCTATATTCAGCAGCTTATTCTGGGTACAAACTATGTGTGAGGCTCTGTGCTGCGAACCTGGAATCAGCAGATGAAATAGGAGCCTCTAATCTCTAGAAGTATCCATGGGTTAAGGAAACACACATTTAGTTTCTGCAATAGGTGCTGGGCAGAAGGCAGGAACCAGGCTGGGAAACCTGTGCAGGGGCACCTGATGGAGACCTAGGGGTAAGAGCTTGAGAAAGCCTGAGGAGAGACACCTCCATGGAGCATAGAGCTTCCCAGTGCAGGACCAGGTAGCCAATCTGGAAGGGGGTTGTCAGCAGGCCAGGTAGAGGCATGGGATGGAGGGAAAGGCTTTTGAAAGTATTGGACCCAAAGTGTGGGGAAACTGGTAGAATTAAATCAAAGATAGCTTTTTATATTTTTGAGTTGATTCTTTATCCCCAAAGGAATGAGCCACAGTTGAAGACTCCGTTATTCACTGTGAGACTGTGACTGTTCAGGATGAGCAAATATAAAGAATGCTAGTATGACATTTATCACATTTATCAAGTTTTAGACAAATATAACTCAATCCAGGCCATTCAGCGGGGCCGGTTAAAAAAGGCTGTAGAAACACTCCCCCACTTCCTGTTCCCATCTCCATGCCAGGGAACCCAGCATTAGACAGGAGTTTGAACAGTTAGATCCTCACAGCCTTGAAGCCAAGGCACAGGATATGGGAAGGTTTCCACCGGCTTTTCTGCAGGGGTCCAGTGGGTGAAGCAGTTGTCTCAGAGCCACTATGTGATTTCAGCCCCTT